AAGACCCATTGGTGACCTTCGACTTTTTTCTGCTCTTTGGTCGGGTTGTTGACTCTTTGACACATTCCCAATTTCCATGCTCAATTTTATAAGTGCCAACAATAGTAGATCGATGTTCAAAACCCATTTAGCATTGAAAAAACAAATTATGAGAGAACTGCGTTAACAGCTACAGAAGCTATAACGGATGGGTTGACAGGGTAAACGTCTCCTGATATGCATGCATCATCTGTCACAGGACATGTACACATTAGAAAATAGTACACAATCGATATATTAACCGATGAGATTTCTATCCGCTGTCTAAGGTTCGCTAAAACCCTTGTGTAGCAATGGGATAAAATGCGAAGAATTAGATGCAATCAATCTTGTTTGGTTGATTCATCATAATTTTTTCAGTTTAATCTTACTTTTGAACTAACCTTACATAAAAATGCAATACAATGTGAAGATTTGATGCAGGAATTTAGCTCATGTTTGACTCTGATTACGAACTTAGATATAATTGCTGAAGTCCATGTTTAGGCCTAAATAAAAGTCATTTCTTAAGAAAGTTTTTTACATCTGCCTTGAACGATTTAGTTGTACTGCAATTCACACAAATCTAACGTAAGGAATACTATAAATGTAAAAATGTTTCTAAATGTTACCACAAAAAAGCAGTTGTTTTGAATTCATATTTATACATACCTGACTTTCAAATGTTTAGTTTGAGCCTTCATGGCGATGTTAATCCAGAAACCCGTCTCGGACGCACGCATTTTATAAAAGTGTTATTTTCGATTAAAAAGAAATGTTTTGATTGCTAACACTTTCTATAATTATCTTAGGTCTAAATCTAATTTAATCCCAATAATTTGATTTCGTATAGTGATATGTTTCATTATTTCTATTATATTCAACAGTCAAATTTTGTGTTGAATTTAAAATTTTTAGAATGTGATTCTAAAGTTATGACGCCTTGTTTGTAAAAAATGTAACTTTCAGCAGTATTTTAATCCTAATTTTAAACTTTCTTACTGTATCCATATATGGTCTAACAACCTTAGTTTTGATTCAGCGTTTTCTTGAGTGTTGTCTGTCTGATCGTAGTTTTCCGTTTTTTATTTTTTTTTTTTTTTGGCATGATGTTGCCAGTCTTATGAGTGTTGATTCTACCTTTGGTATACTTTCACCTTTTTTCATATTAGCTGGTAAAGCATTTAATCCTTTTACTTCGAATTCTTTACAGTCAATCGAAGACTGGGAAATTAAGAAAATAATCATTAAAAGGAACAGTTGGTGTTTGAGTATGAGAAGGATAATTTCAAATTTAATAAATTTAATAAAGAAATCACTTTGAGTTCGCTATCGATACATTGCTCATAATGTGCTTTTGGTATTACCAAACATTTTTGTATAAACATGTAGATTCCATAAATCTTAGTTACGAGAAATCATTGTTATGCTTTGGTATTTTGATATGCTTATGTAATTGAGTGAACTAAATGTTCTTACTTTATTTTTAGCATACGGTTTTATATAGGTTTAACTTTGCCAAAAATCTATATGATTAATTTATTGACCGTTGTTTGCTTTACGTCCAGTGGCAAATATTTCATTCATGTTCAGGCTGAGACCAAATTAACAATTAATATAATAAGTAGATCCTGCTCTACGGTGTCGACCAAGATAAAAGGCGGCAAATTTTGACTGCCACTGAGAAATAAGGGTATATTGGATAGGGAAAAACAAAACAAGCCTTGCAACAGGCCACTTACGGACCCCTCAAAAAGATTAGCAAGGATTTTGAATATGCATTCTCTACACAAGGATTTAACGTCCCTATACTGATCGGACGTGGCTGCGAATTTATACATCTCGCACAGCCAAACGAATGCCACGCTTTGGCAAGGGGTTTACTGTCGGTCGGAAGAAGACCAAAAGTTTTTACATATTTCTATTCCCAGATGTACCCTTTGACCAACTCGCTAAGATACAGAGGGGAAATATTTAGTACTCACAAAACAAGATTTTCCCAACCACATCTTTATTTTGTCTGTATTTTTCACTAGTAAATGCATTTTAGTCTTAAATGGCCATTTTGATCTTAACCTTATCTGAAAAGTCTGAACCTAAACACGTTAAGTCCTGTTCAGAGTTAAAGTAATTTTCAGATACTAAAGTATTGTTTTTTTGATAATTCAGTACGATTCATGAATTTCGCCTGTATACAATCTAGTACTGTTGAGATTTTCAGATTTTCAGAGTCCTGTTGTTTCGTACAGGTTCATAAAAGCTACTGACCAATCTGTAAATAGAATGACGACAACTTAATTGACTGCACAGTACTGAATTTACCACAGATGATAAGTCTGAAAATTGACTGATGGACTGTACAAAGCTTATGAATCTATTGTTAAGCATTTAAATATACAATATATGTACATTGTCGGAAAATATAAAATTTATTTGTATGAGCTTTAGAAACAGGACGAAAAGCGAGGCTCGCCGAGCTTTTCTCCTATTTCGCAGCGAGTACAAATAAATTTTTATCCAGAAATTTACACCCAACACTTGAAACTTTAGTTGTTAAAATCTAAATCATTGTCTCTTATTTTTCAAAGAAATTGACATTGTGTAAACGCGGACCGCGAAGAGGACCCCAAAATGAACTGGTACGCAAAAAGAAATATCCACATTACCGCTTGCTCAACATGGAAGAGGGGTAACAGGAGACTTTATTTCTACAAGTACAAATAAAGCAAAATTTTATTTTTGTACCTGTTATTTGTACAATAGTTGGCTGATTGCAGGATAAATACCGGTTAAAATCACAATGACCGTTTGCAGTTCAAAATTTATTTACTATTGTTTTTCAGAAACATCGTCAGTGGATTGCAATTTTTTTTTCTTCAGATTTCTTGTCTATTGAGAATAGTGCTGTTTCCACATGTTGTAATGCTATACATGTAAGTCATTGGCAGCTAACCAATTATAATGGTCAGTTTCCATGACCGCTAGATATCTATTTTAGTCCTTTTCTGTTATTTGAATACAGATAATCACCTTCTGATATATTGACGGGATCATTCATGTCTTAGTCATTTGTACTTCATCAGGTACTCTACAGACCAAGCTTTCGCACAGTTAGATGAAACGGCACTTGTGGTATGTGGAGAAGTGTCTGCTCAACCTGAGAACCTGAGCTCACCCCGTTCTTTTTGCTGGGGTTCGATCGTGATGCGCTGTCTTTAGTTTTCTATGTTGTGTTTGTAGACTGTTGTTTGTTTTTTGGTGTTGTTTTTTTTGTATTTGCCAAGGAATTGTCAGTTCGTTTTCGACTTATGAGTTTGACTATCTCTTTGGTATATTCTGGATCTCTTTGAGACATCAACGGCATTAAATCCGAAAAGGATTCAAAGCAAAATTATATTTTTCCTGCTATAGTTACAACTTTTTACATATATTGCAAATCAATCCCTCCAGTTTTCAAACATTCTGTACAGCAAAAAAGTACCCACGGGTGTTGGTTCAGTAATCAAGGTATGCGTTTTATATGCATATATTTAAATATTTTTTATAAGATCAAAGTCAAAGCTCAATCGGTGTAATGCTGAAAAAAATATAACTATAAATTGCGACATTGTCTATGCCTACGCTTACTTGCCCATGCGACTTAACCGAAATGTTTGTATTCATATTAAACATTTGTGATTGGAAAGTGTACTTCCGTATTAAGTTATCAGATCTTGTATGATAGCTGTTCTACATAAGCGTTTGATTTGTCAGGTTTTATAGACTTCCAACTTTTTGAATTTACCTTTGAGTTCTATATTTTTAATACCTTTTTTAAACATGAAAATAAATCTTTTTAATTCTTTAACAATAAAGATTGGAAATCATTGACGATAATCAAATTTAAAATAGCGATTTTATACACTCGAAAATATTTATTTTGGATCTGTCAATACACTTGAGAGTTTGCACTATTATAAGAAAAATACTACGATGAAGCAAAAACATTTCAACAGTGATACTGTTTTAAGATACTAATCATTTCTCAAAACCAGAATAACCATATTAATTGAAAGTCATAGTAGATTGACCATATCATATTCCCTTAGTTTATTTCGAACAAGAGCCATTTTCAAATATATTTTACATAATAAAATTGAGAATGGAAATGGGGAATGTGTCAAAGAGACAACAACCCGACCATAGAGCAGACAACAGCCGAAGGCCACCAATGAGTCTTCAATGCAGCGAGAAACTCCCGCACCCGGAGGCGTCTTTCAGCTGGCCCCTAAATAAATATGTATACTAGTTCAGCGATAATGGATGTCATATTAAACTCCAAATTATACACAAGAAACTAAAATTAAAAATGATACAAGACTAACAAAGACCAGAGGCTCCTGACTTGGGACAGGCGCAAAAATGCGGCGGGGTTAAACATGTTTTTTGAGATATCAACCCTCCCCCTATACCTCTAGCCAATGTAGAAAAACAAACGCACAACAGTACGCACAGTAAAACTCAGTTTAAGAGAAGTCCGAGTCGGATGTCAGAATAGGAAACAAAAGAAAATAAACAAAATGACAATAAGACATAAATAACAACAGATTACTAGCAGTTACTGACATGCCAGCTCCAGACCTCAATTAAACTGATTGAAAGATCATGTCTTCATCATATGAATATCAGGCACAATCCCTCCTGTTAGGGGTTTAGTATTATACCATCATAAAATATATGAGAATAACATAACCCGTGTCATGCCAACAACATTAATTTATTTCAGTTACGCATGCCCTTCGATGCAAACGTTTTTTTTAGATAATGTGTAATGCTTGCAATACTTTTTCAAGGTGGTACGGTTACCTATAATTGCTTATATCCACTTTATTTGAACTTTGTTAGATAGTTGTCTCATTGGCAACCATAAAACATCTCCTTATTTTTATAAAGATAGCCAATGTATAGCACTGAATAACTTTTAGATTAATGAATAATGTAAATTTTCGGAATACAAATTTATAGATAATTCAGACTCTTTAACAATACAATGTATATGGGTTTCAATAACCCATCTTGACTCTATGTGTGAAAATACCGGAGAAGAATTGAACTTTACCAGTTCACAATAGGAAGAATACATGTCTTGAGTTCCGAGCTTACTTTCAGCTTATGGACGGAACTAGCATTTCTGTCACAAATTTCCCAGACAGACTTTGCAGCTAGATGTTTCAACGGTTGAATTGTGTTACTTTGTCGTTCTAGTTCTTTCTGTACCATGGTAATGTACTTTGCGGTCTGTTCGATTGGCCTGTAATGTCTGTTTTTGAACAGTCGAAGGGCATCTTTTACGGATTTCCTCGACATGTACTTGCACATTTTAAGCATAATCTCAACGTCATTCACGTGATCGGGCTGTCTTATGTAAGGAGCTATCTGGCAAAGTTTATCTAAAAGTGCGTCTAAATATGTATTGATTACATATTTGTCATTCAATTTGTGATTAGCGTCAGCTCCATAACGCAGTAGGAACCGGAAAACAGTTTCATCAACTCCTATCGCGACGCTCGTTTTACCATATTGGTGAAGAATCGGTCCTAAAATACTATTCCTATGTTTTGATGAACGCGCGTTTTTGTTAGTTTTTGCAGCATGAGAAAGCAATGCTTCGCCACATTCTAGAACAAATTTTACTGCCAATGAACCCGATTCCAAAAACTCTACGTATGTCTCTACTGTTTCTAAAAGGCAGTGCATTGCTGATGAAAAAGATCGTCTTCCAACAAGAGATTTCTTTCCTTTTGAATTCATAGTCTGTTCATATTTGCATTCATCAAAGTTTGCGTTAGCACCCGCGTTCAGTAAAATGCGTACACATTCGATATAGTATTGCGTATTGATTGAGTCGTGCATGCATAGAGAATTAGATAATAAACTATACAACGGATACGTATTTGTTGGATTTTTTACGCAGAAGTCAAATTTGTTTTTGACTAGAACGGTTGTTACAGCAGGTAAGCTTGCATACCCACCACGGCCGAATTCCTTCCCTGAACTGAATGTATAAAGCATATGGAATGGGTTTTTGCCTTCAAACAGGTCACCAGTCTTTACATTTGTTTCAAGAAGAAGATCAAGACAGGAAGCTCTGGCGCATCTTACAGCTATTTCGATAGCTTCTCGTGCATCATCACTTTGATATTCATGTGTGAGCAAGTACCGTAAAGCTTTTTCTGATCCATCTAAAGTCGCTAAGGCAACATAGCCGCTGTTAGTGTGTTCTGGATTTTTTTTCAGAACGCATATATTTAAAATCTGGTGAACACAGTCCATATGCTTGTGCAATGCGGCAACATCTAAAGGTGTAACCTGAAAATATATCCAATAAAAAAAGAAAGAAATCGTAAATATCATTAAAGTGAAGGAAACTTTCTAACGTATAGTATATAGGATATTATTTACATTTTCAAAACAAGGGGTGAATACTGTTATACTTCATTTGAAAGACTAAATGGTCAAATAACTATCAGACAATTTGAAGAGTTAAAAGAAAAACAATGATTCTCAGAGCGGCATTAAATTGCAATAAACAACTGACTGAAGGTCTCATAATTCTCGCAAAATTTCTCATATCAAAATGGCGGTCAAGTTGGTTGAACGACCATGATAAAATTCAATATCATTATGTATGAAACCTACGAAGATGAAGCTCAAATGAGTAGCGTAAACGAAATTTTAATACTGTTCAAGTAAATATCTATGTGTGTTTCTTATCAAGTCAAAAGTTAATGTCTAAGATTGCTGCCAAAACATTCGTATGTATGCTTCTGTACGTCTGCAGTTTAACTTGATGCAGGCAATGCTTGATACTACTAATTGGGTATTTGGTTTTTCTTTACTTGACGTCCAGTAGTGTATATGTCATGCATGTTCAAGACATGAACAGGTTAACAATAAATTCTGAAGGTGAATTCTGTAAAGTTGGTCGACGGGGATGATGGGCGAGTGATTAGAGAAAAGGAACTTGCAACTTAAAGAGGAATGTTAAATTGGTTTTTTTTATGTATGTCTTGTAACACCCACCTTCATCAATAGATAAAAAAACAAGTACTAATATGATATAAAATACTCAACCTATATTCAAAAAGATATAATGTTCAGTACTTTCTCTGCCGATTGTAAGTTAACATATAATTTTCGGGTTAATTTAAATGTTGGGTATCAACAATTTACTCATTTGATACCTTTAGAATGATTTAAAAATGCCGAATATAAATTGTGATAAGACTATATGTTGCCCTCTAGATGTCTATTTGAGTTACTTTTCTTGTTGGATTGCTGTCTCATTAACGCTTAGTGCACACTTCCTTGAATTTATATGATTTTTATAATTGTAAAATGGCGCCCTCTTGGTACAAGTTATCTTAGCTTGACTTTTTAAAATTAAACTACTGATAGTGTTAATCGTGTTTTCTTCTTTAGAAACAAAGCAGGCCTTGTAGGTTCCCTAGTATTGTTTTAGGCAGCTACAATTTGATTTTTATTGGGGGGAGGGGGGGGGGCTAGGATGAAAAATTTTGTCCTGCATTTTTTTTTTAATTGTAATCTCTGTCCTGCCTTTTTATTTTTCACTTTATTCTGTCCTGCCTTCTTTTTTCATTAGTTTATCCTGATTTTTTGTACATAAATTGTCATCCTGCCTTTTTGTTTTGCCAAGTTGCTCATCCTGCCTTTTTTTTTTGCCTGTCCCCCCATAAAAATCAAATGGTAGCTATTGATATTAATTTTACCTTTGATTGATTTTCTAACTTTATACACAGATTTTTGTCATCTTTGTTCATCACATCAGGATAGATTAGATTTGTCATCGGTCGATTATCGTTTGGACGATGCGTAAGAATTACTCCAAGAATAGTCCTAGACCCCAGTTTCGCGGCCAAGTGTAGATACGGGTTGTATTTTGGTTGATGAGATTCATTAAAATATCGATGTGACAAAAGAAACTCCACTGCTTCTGAGCTGTTCAGAATAATACAATGATGTAAAAGGTCAAGGTCATTGTGATCAGTCCAACCGACGATGTGTCGAGGTTTAGATTCTCCTAAATAGTGACGCAATCTGTCAGGCGGTGCACGTCCTTTTACTGCATCAATAAAATGTTCAATTGTCTTTTGTATATCACTGTTTCCATTCAGTGTTGACATCGTCAGGTATTTTCACTCAGACTGAAATAAAAAAATATATATTAAATATTATTGCGAACATTGTCTGTTAAGAAAAGATAAGCCGAACATTGATAGAGTGCATTGTACATTTTTCAAATAAGTTTGATCAAATTCTATGTTTTAATAAAATCCGGAATATTCAGTACATGTTGACACAAGTAGAAGTGTGAAGTCCTCTTTGTTCTAGTTCCAACACTTATTTTTAAGTTCTGTGTAGTTTTGTGAGACTGTTGTACGTCTTTCTTTCTTTTTGTTTTGTATAATCACCTTGGAATATTTTCCCCCATTTTCCACTACCGTTACCACCATCAAAATTCAGTTATCAGTCCAGATTATATAGTGTAACTGTAAACGTTTACATCGCAAAATTCTGAGTTGTAGTCATTTTTACGAAAATTGCGACAGAATAAGAATCGCAAAAGGCAAACTTGCATTTCAAATTTTGGTAGCATTATTTGTACTTGCATTGTTGTCCATTCTTCAAAAATCGCAATTATGAATGCACGCAAAAATTCCTGTATTTCCAGTAAACATTTTGACTGATTGGTTAAGCTTTTTGTATAAGAACAGTAAATGATTAGATGTTTTTTGTGTTGAATGATTCCTGTCTTATTGATGTATACTCTTCGTCTCTTTTCATCTATACATGTATGAATGAGTGTTAAAAATCAAGGTCAGTCCATGGTAGTTATAAGCATTGTTGAAATATAATTTATTTTACCTCCATTTAAAAACCAATCACAACTCTACAATCCCATTATTATAGATTAATAATCCTTTCTTGCCCATTTAAAATGTTTCATTTATACTTCTGTATTCTAATATGCTGGTATGACAACTGTGGCATTCCGAAAGCTTTCCTTTATATCATATACATTTGGTAGTCTACTAGTTCATAAAGGTTAGAAATGTTTTTAATGAGAAAATCTGCGTGTCACTTAATCATACAAAACACATGTAGGAGGGTCTGGATGGGGGTTTTTCATTTCTGTATTCTTTAAATTTTAAGGTAATTTTTCTCTATTCTCTATATATTTTGCCTATGATTCGCTATTCTTTATATTTTTTGCCTATCATTCGCTAAAATTTAGCACCCCATTATTATCAACACTAATTTTACCTACTTTTCACTATTCTTTATTTTCTGTACACTTGATCTATTCTTCTCTATACTTTAAACCCCATAAAGCCCTCACGTAGGTTGTCAATTTTTACTAACTTTCATTTTTATCCATTTACCTTATGATTTACATTATCTAAAGGCTGGCGATAAGAAGTGAAATTAACATTTATACAGAATAGATGCTTAATATTAAGAAATCAAAATCAGATATAAATGAAAATGTTTTCTGAACACAGAAAGACCGGATTTATTCCTTGAGCGGCTACATTATATGTTCTAGTAAATTACAGGTGAAAGTTTATTAACATGCAAGAAACAGTTATCAAAATTTGTGCAGGTAGACTTAGTCTTTTAAGCAGAAAATTAATGTGTGTATTGAATGAAATTATATTTTTGAATTTAATGAAAAACCACTTTGTATCTCTTATCTTTACAGCTCAATGGAAGCATAAATAAACAGTATTCAAATTTATTCAAATACTTATTCAAAAGTTTTCAAAGGATGTAGATCTTATCTATTCAATTATGTAAAACAAGGATATAGATATATAAAAACACAATAAAAAGTGCATTTATATTAAACACGTTAAACAATAACGTGCACTAAGTTGTTTTATTTTGTATATGTTTTAAGGGCCAGCTGAAGCCCGCCTCCGGGTGCGGGATTTTTCTCGCTGTATTGGAGGCCATTGGTCGGGTTGTTAAAATTGTCTCTTTGACACATTCCCAGTTTCCATTCTCAAATTTTATTATATTTATATTTCTATGAATTGTATTTTGATATGTATGTAATGTGTCATACTATTTTAAAATTTAAAACTTTAAAGTATATATCCTCTTGCCCCTTGTTGGTCCATCAATATGGAATGAAGTATATTCTATTCTACTCTATAGTGTCGGTATGAAAAAGTATATATCTTTCTAACCACCACAAGTCTTTAAGTCTTCCATGTATTTGTTATATTTTTATTAAAACAACTATTGCATATAAATTTGTTTATTTTGGTTCATTTTCATCTTTATTTTAGCAAAATACTTAAAGTTTTAAAGTATAAATCCTTCAAATATTTGTATATAATCAACCCCATTTTTGACATAAAATTTTCTAACAAATTTTACCATAAAAAATTATATTCTATATAATTTGTTTTCATTTTGATGTCAGAGATAAACAAATTTCATTTGAGGCTTAAAAGCTTAATCTTAATATCTTAATATCGTATTATCATAAACTCTTTTTGTTTGGTTACATTTCTTATAATCACGGACTAAACAAAAGAACATTATATGTATAGAGACAGAATTAGATCACAGGACAAATAAAAACGAAAATAATATTCGATTTTGATATAGTCAAAATTCAATAAAACAAATTATATGACAGCCGTGAGCCCCCTTCTATACACAAAACTTTCTTTGCGATAAGCCTCAGAATGTACAAGTTATTATCTATATTATAGATATGCACCTGTCCTAAGTCAAGAGCTTGTTTTTCAGTGGTTGTCGTTTGTTGATGTGGTTCAGAATTGTTTCTCGTTTCTCGTTTTTTATATAGATTAGACCGTTGGTTTTCCTGTTTGAATTGTTTTACACTAGGCATTTTGGGGCCCTTTATAGCTTGCTGTTCGGTGTGAGCCAAGGCTCTGTGCTGAAGACCGTACTTTGACCTATTATTGTTTACTTTTTATACATTGTGACTTGGATGGAGAGTTGTCTCATTGGCACTCATACCACATCTTCTTATCTATATGTAAGAAGTTCTTACTACATTGTTAGATGGACTTCTGATATTATATATAATTACATCACAAGGTAAAGCGTATTGAATCAACTTTGTACACGTGACCATGTTTGGCATAAAATACTCAATCATATTCACAATCTGTTATTAGTTAAGATATTTCATATGTTGTACCAGTATAATCTTCGACATCAAAATTATTTGACCGATGAAATCATAGCAAGCCAAATTCATTAGCAATCATTAAAATGCCATTAGTTTTTTGTGCAAAAGCTCAAGACCTTTCTTGTAGTGCAAGTGAATACAATGACAATATAATATATGTCCATTAGTAAACATATAATATTAAGAGCAATAAGAAGTTGATAATATCTTTATATTTCATTTATTATTTATAAAATAATGGATTTTGAACAGTATCAATGTTTGCATAAATGATTAATTAGTTCTGATATTAACTGTTTAGCACTCGACGTACATGTACTTTAATGAAAATGATCATCTTGTCAAGTAAAACTAAGGGCATCGATGGCCGAGTGGTCTAAGTATTGAATTTACTGTACCACTATCCTGTTAACACAGACGCTGTCAGTACGGCATGTGGCAGGTGCGTTCGACTCCAATCTTAATTGACTAGGATTGTTAGTTTTCCTTAAAAGGTCGATGGTTTTCTCCGTGCACTCTGGTTTTATCCACCAATAAAAACTGACGCCACGAAATAGCACAAAAGTGTTGAAAGTGGCGTTAAACACCAATCAATCAATCAATCAGGTAAAACTAGTATATTATGAATAATAAAGAAAAACGGAGTTTTCACCATACACACTCTATTTAAGCCGTAAATAGCGTTGACTATTTAAAGGAAAAGGTATGATACGCCACTGATCGGCCCTTTGAGTTAGAAAAAAAAAATACAGTATTATTCATATATTAAATTTCAATGTCCTTCATAGGTTCAAGAGACAGTATGAATTAAAGGAAATGTGGGGTACACCTTAAAGAGACAGCAACCGAACGACAAAAAAAAACCAAAAAGACATTTATGAATATGATTGTCATTAATCTCTCAGTTATTAGTAATAACACACTTGATTTTTCCCCTTTCATATTTGGTTAGAATCTTTAGACTTCTTACTATAGAAAAAGTAAAAACAATTTTTTTGAGATTTTGTTATCATCAGAAGCCTTTCTTTAAAAGTATTTTGCAACAGTGTCTTACTATCAGGATATTGATGTCAGTGATGATATATCTCTTGGGTGAGGTTGTTGCTTATCTAATATTAAAAAAATCGGTATATGTATTGGTCATTTTAGTTTTCAAAAAGGACATTGTCAGTTATAATATGACTATGATGTGACATGTCTGCTCTAAAGTGACCAATCATCTTATTCTTTAATTCAAATATTACATTGTTACAATTTGGAAGGAATAAAAGAAATTTTACGAAGTATTCACTTCTAACAGCTATTACCATGCATTAATGTAAAGTCTAGGCATAAATTACAAATCCTAAAGGATTGTCCGTCTACATTGTCAATCTCATATACGTTTTGCAGAAACCGTCATATGCTAGACGTTTACCTTTTTGGACAATTTCTTTTTTGACCAAACGTATCTTTCTTGTTTTTACAGTGTAACAAAACACAATACAAATAAATACAAACAAGTACTTCGTCGTAGAAATAACTTTTTGGTACGTTTTATTGTCCTCCTCGGAAGGTAGGAAGCTTTTAAGTGGAGAACAAACGTTCTTTCAATGGCAGTCATAAAATATGTAATCCTTCATTTTAACACCTACGGTATAAAAATGAATCATAGACTGTAGAACTAAAACAATAATAGTGCATTGGATTGAAATGAAAATGCAGAAGGTTAGAAGGATTTGGATCGAAAAGAAGAAAATGATTAAAAATGTTTTGCATTTTGCCCTTTTTTTAACCTCATTCTTATATCGATTTCATGTACAGTCGATACACTTTTTTCTATATGAATATACCAATTAATACATTAAATTAGACTGCTATTAATGTGCAAGTCATCAATGAAAGAGCTCCGCTCTCACCCTCGCCCTTTTCGAACAAAATGGAACAAGAAAGAAAAACATATCACTAAATGATTACTCAATCAGTCGTGTTGAGTTAACGAGTATTGCAAACTATCGAAGACCACATTCTATATAAAAATTAAATAAAACACTTACCGACAATGCAATTTTATGACTATCTTTATAAAACTCATAATATATTAGCAAAATATTAACTAAACTTACCAAGAAGAAGTTTCTCAATATTATAATTCTACATAACACCAGGGAGTATGTGGAGTATTTTATAATAAGTTACGTAAATATTGCATAATATCGATAACAACATTTGATATTGAAAAACTTGTGCTTAACTTGTTATTGAAAAAGGTAATTTTAGTATTGTGCTAATTGACAGTTTCAAGTGGAGTTCATGGTCTGATTTCCTGACAAATCAATGGAGATCAATTCTTATAAGTGCTTATAATGCGTAATAGAACAATTTACCAAATAGTGCAAAATGTGATCATGATTTATACATGTTGTAACATAATAATAATAAATATGTATGAGGGTCTGGGTGGGTTAATAGAATCGGGAATAATGAGTCAAAAAAATAAAGCATAGAAGATAATGGGCGCTATAAATAAAAACAATAGAGATAAATGAGTCAAGCATATAAAGAATAAAGAAAAAAGACCCAAAACTCAGAAATGAAGATCTCATGCATCAACACCGTGAAGTACATAAATCATAATTAGCTTACGAAGCGGTGAGACTAGTTTAAAGTGGCACCTTCTGATAAGGATAAATATTGCAGCTGCTTATAGAAATATTATATTACCAATATGTTTAAAATGTAATCTTTATGGAAGAGAAAAGGGTACAATGCATAACAATGTATGATATTATGCAATCAGCCAACTTTTGTACAAATAACAGGTATGAAATAATTTTTGGGTTTAGTTTCCTGTTACTTCCCTTCATATTGAGAAAACGGTAATGTGAATACATGTATTTCTTGTTGCGTGACAGTTCATTTTGGGGTCCTCTTCGCGGTGTGCGTTTAAACTATGGCGATCAGATACTATTTGGATTTTAACAACTTTAACCTTAAAGTGCCTGGTAAAAAATGCAGGATAAAAACAATATGTGTACATGATGAAGACAAAATCTTTCAATCAGTTTAATTTAGGTCTGGAGCTGGCATGTCAGTTACTGCTAGTAGTCCTTTGTTGATTTATGTTATCATTGTCATTTTGGCTAGAGGTATAGATGGAGGGTTGAGATCTCACGAAACATGTTTAACCCCGACCTATTTTTGCGCCTGTCCCAAGTCAGGAACCTCTGGCCTTCGTTAGTCTTGTATGTTTTTTTAATTTTGGTTCTTCTATATGTTTCGGAAATTAGTGTGACGTACATTTTCTCTGAACTAGTACACATTTTTATTTAGGGGCCCCTCCTCAATTCTCATAATTTGAGGGCCTGAATGGTTTTTACAGAATAGAGAATAATGGGGCAAATCTACAGAAAAATGGGCAAAAAAAGTTAAGAGTAGAGAAAAATGGATAAAAAAATAAAGAATAGAGAATAGTAAGAACAAATACAAAAAATAGAGAAAAACTACCTTAAAGAAAGAATACAGAAATGAAGGACCCCCATCCAGACCCTCATTATATATCAACACATCAAACTCATTTGTTCTTAATTGGTTGGTTTTGAGTTTTGGGCAATAACATCAAACATGTTGGTGGCCTTGGGCTGTTTTCTGCTCTTTAGTCGGGTTTTTGTCTCTTTGACGCATTCCCCGCTTCCATTCTCAATTTTAATGTAAGAGATAAATTTTATTATAGCAAACTTCATTATGCTCAGTTTGACCTTCTCCATGCAAACAGACTATAAATTTTGAAAATATTGTGCTCTTTTAACATGAGGTGTAAAGGTGGAGGTATGTTAAGAGGCAAATTTATCACCAGCCCAGTCGTCACCACTTTTGTGTTGATATAAATTATCATTGACATGGTCATATCTACATAAAGCAACTAAGAACTTTCTACCCCAGAAATAGATTACCTTACTTGTATTTTACTAATATTTCGAAAATTTGGATCCTCAATAATCTTCAACTTCGTACTTCATTTGGCCTTTTTAAATATTTTGATTCGAACGTCACTGATGAGTCTATTTAAGACGAAACGCGCGTCTCGTGTACAAAATATTAATCCTGATATATATTTGAAAATAAGGAGATGTGGTATGGTTGCCAATGAGACAACTATCCACCAAAGTTCAAATGAAGTGGATGTAAGCAATTATAGGCAACCATACGGCCTTCAACAATGAGAAAAAACCATAAGGTATAGTCGGCTATTAAAGGCATCTACATGAAAAATATTAAACGATTAAACTAAGAAAACCAACGGCCAAATTTATTACAAAAAATAAAAATATTTGAAGGCGCCAACCCCTAAGATTGGACAGTTGTTATAACAGGACAATATAAGAACAAACTATAAAAATCTGTTGAAAATGGCTTAACTCATTACATCGTTATAAAACAGAAAAAAAATCTAACAAAAACACAGACCGGACGTGGCAGGATATTTATACATCCCTGAAAACAGAAAAGACAAAAGTACAGATCTGAGAGTACTTCCAGTTACTGACAGCTAGTTCAAAGCCAATAACAACTAATAATAAGTTCATGTGTTTTTTAAAAACTAAAATATCAATCAGTACACATCCAACATCCAATTGATTTAGTTTAAAGACGTCATTAACAGTCAGAGAAAAACATGACCTTGTGCAATGCCAAAATATGGGCATCGACAGATCACAGTACCTTGAATGTGCATATGTGTATAATGCCAATATTTAGTATGGTTTTAGTTAACTGATAACAAAATAAATATTTATACCAATGAAAATAACATTCAAAAATCTAATTACAGTGTTGAATTGGTAACCTTTTAGGAGAAGTTAATTGAAAGGATTGACAAGTTTACCCGAATCGTATCTAAATTTCCGGGCTCGGTTAACAACATCACCGTAACATTTAGGATGTGCTATTCCGTTTGAAATAAGTGTTCTACAGGTGCAGCCAAATTTCCAAACCAAATCTTACACCTCATGTTAAAGTTTTAACTAATTCGGGTAACGAAATCGCTGACTTAATAATTTACGAGTAATACATAGATGAGTTTATTTAGACAAAGTATGAAACGAAACAACAGGATTCGTGACTGAAACAGTAGTTCAAATTAAAGGATACACGTGTTTTCATATTTCATTGTTCCATTATGTTTTAAAACTGTTTGATGACAATGCATTTCATTATGGGGTTGATAGTTCATTTGCAATCTAACATCTCATTGTTATTAGAAGTTTTTAAAGCTGAGATTAGGAACAATCTTTCATTTTGAAGTCAAAATTGTCATAATTAGGTAATATACGATCAATGTTAGAGACTTAAGATGTTGAGTATGTCAATAAGCTTTTTAAAGGTTTTTAGACAGTCGGGGAATGTCGATGACAAAGAATTAAAATAAACAATCTTAATTCAAAACCACATGTCCACGGCACAGAGAGACGAATCGAAGATGTCAAATGGGACCGAAGGGGGTCCGAAAATATGGAAACCCGGTAGTTAGAAATCATAAAAAAGTACAAAAAAAAGGTGTGGGCCCTCGCCTTTTGGACAATCAAGTGCCTCGTTATGATTTTATCTTTTAATCCCCTTTAAACAATTGACATGTCTTCCCTCAGTACGGACACCATAGATAAAATATAAATCTAATTTTACGTAAATTATGTACGAATTTTAGATCTAAAATCTTCAAACTTTTTTAAACCTTCCTCAACATATAATATTCACTTTTTACGTGTAGAACTAATGATATTTAAAATAAACGTTAGATATCCGTACCATATTAAAATGTTATTTCCGAAATAAGCCGAATTACACTAAGTTTAAAAGAACTTGTAACTAAATGCTGGTTGCGAATCAACTATAGTAAAAATCCTAAAGAGTAGTTTATCATTGTCTTATGTTCATTTATCAAATAAATCGGTTATACTTATTTTAAACCACATTTAAAATCGTAAAGGCAGCAATTGTCCTATATTTCCTTTACTTTGTACTCTTTATACACAAAATTTCTGAAGCAACACTCAGTCTGTATATGCGATAAAAAGAGGAGACAGTTGGGTTTCACCTTAACACTAAAACATACATCAAAGATAGCAATGTTATTCATTTATATCAAACTATCGATAAGCACAATTTTTTAAATTATCGTAAGAAAAGCTTCCAAACGCTTCTGTAGTCTACAAGTTTAACGTCGACGCGATAAAACATACATAGTTAGACAATCAATCCACAATATACTGAAGCACAATCAATTAATAGGTTTACTGTATTTAATTTCATTGGTACTTATTCTTGTTATCTATTGTTTACTCATCATAAAGTAGAAAATAACTGATAATGCAATTTAAAAGCAAACAACATATAATCTATCTAAAACCATAGGCAGAAAGCATATCTAAAATGACACTTGAGCTGCGTCGGATAGAAATCGACCTTATGCAAATGAATATCAATACATCTGTAAACTTATTTCGGGTTGAAAAAATCTCTATACAATGTCTGTAACTGTTTGAATTTAGTTGATATAAGAACCCTACAAAACAGACCAAAATTCTACTTTTATTTCGTATTTGAATGTTCAAAAATCAATCAAAATCTTAAAAAATATACATGTACATGTATACGTGTTCTTGCATAAGGTCGATTTCTATCCGACATGGATTTCGTACGTCCGAAGCGATTTTCTAGATTTACCCTCATCGAACGTTTATATCTAAACATTTAAAAAAGCCATTGATAATAAGTTATGCATACAAAATCCAGTACCTCAAAATAGAAAAAACAAACAAGCGCCATATTATAGATTGTATGTAAGTAGTGAATGAGGACACAACGACGAAAGGGAATGAAAGTTGTCTTTCACCCCACGCAAAATCGGATAATGCAGCCTTTGTATCAAACTTCTTATACATTTGTTATCTAATAATGTATGACATAACGCACACCAGATATTCGATTTATGCTGAATAGAGTTTAAATGTCTAAATGAAATAGCTTATTGTCTATAGCTACCTGTCTTTAGTTCACCTCAACGTGTCTTTATATTTTGGCGTTGAATTGCCGTCTTATTGATGTATACTCCAAATTTCCAGTTCCATATTTCTTCTGTGAAATTTTAGTTCATATAGTGATTGCCAGTACGTTATACTAAATGAAACACTCTCATCAAGAACATGAAGAAAGCCCTTCT